TTGGTTGTTATCTTTACATGGCAGAGAGCAGAGAGGAAGCAAGCAAACTTTTCTTTTAAGGGCACTAATACCATACATGAGGGTCCCACCCTTATGTCCTAATTACCTCCCAAAAGCCTCACCATCTCCCATCATGCTTGGGTTAGGATTTCAGCATGTACATTTGAGGGGGACACAAACATTCAGTCCATAACACCATGTAACAGATCTCATTGTTATATATGGTAATTATAAACTCCCTAATAACAAATGTACATTAAGGGCATGGGGCCACATAAAATTAGGTTATTATCCCGCTGACCCAAGGGCAGCAATACTGTTGTCCCAGACAATCTTATCACTGAGAACTCATGAACATGATCTCCTGAGCCACAATTTTTAATTAATTGTGAAAATGTTTTCCTTTATGTCTTTGAGTACACTTATAGCTGCTTTAAACCCATTTTTATTTAGTTTTGGAACATTCAGGACATTTCAGAGATAGTCTGTTGGTTTTAAGTTGGTATGTCCTGAAGATTCCAGATTCTGTTTTATTCCTCTGGAAAGTGTTGCTTTGTGTGTGTGTGTGTGTGTGTGTGTGTGTGTGTGTGTGTGTGTTTATATTGTTTCAATATACAAACACACACACAGCTTGTGTGGCTGAACTTAAGTTACAAATTCTGTCTCTTGGTAAGCATCTTAAATCTCAGTTCAAATCTTTTGTCCTTAGCTGACCTATTTGAACTCTGCCCTTGGCATGCATATTTCAGGGCTCTGGCAGAGATTTGGAAAGAGTTCATATGCAAAACTTGGAGCTTTTCTTTCTAGATCTCTATCACTTTCCAAGATTCCTCTGTCACTTTCCAGCAGCAGTAATTGCCTTGAATTCTGTCTTCTAATTCTTCAGGTTAATCTCCTCAGCCATCTCCAAAATTAAATGGTGCCTAAATTCCTCATCATTCTAACAGTGATATTCTGAACACAGCATAATTTAAATGACTTCATTTAAACACAATTCTGAAGAAAATTTCTGATTAGTACAAAGCATAATGAGGTATTATTTCCCTTATCTATGACAAACTATTTTAATTTATAGTGCTCAAGATTGCAATCACATTTTACTAGCATTTGATTCTTTTTATGCTTTAGATCAGTTAAAATCATAATACTGTTTATTGGGTTTTGTTTTTCATGAAGCGGGTCCTAAATAAAGACTTACCTGTCGAAAGATCAACATAAGCTTCCTAAATTTTGCATAGATGCAATTTATTTACAAATTGACCTAAAATTCTCTCCATATAATTTTATTGTTTTTGTTATAGATACGTTTATTCATTCATATGTATTCTTTCTGCAAATATTTATTGAAACCCTCTTAGGCACTTGAGAACACGGTGGTGAAATCTCACTAACATAATTACTCTTCTTATTGGAATTTATATCCTAATTTGAAGTGTTACATTATATACAAGTAAACAAGTATAATATGAAATAATGTATCTACAAAGAAAATAAAACAGAATCATATGGTAATGAAATAAAAAGTGATAGAGGAGGTACCGTTTATATTGTGAATCAGTGGTGTCCTAGCTGAAGAAGTAGTGTTTGAGCTCCAATATGACTAATGACAAGGGCCCTACTGAAACAAGTTGAAATCTAAGTGTTGTGTTTATGATTTTTTCTTCATATCTCTGAGCCATCTGTAAATAATTCTAAATCTTTTTTTTTCTAATTACTTCCTACTTATGATAAAGCCATGTGTTAGTATAGTGAATTCCTTCCTTCTGGTCAGAATGCTCTATGGCCCCTTTCTAGGTATTTAAATCATGAAGTAATTAGTCCAATTAATTTTTGTATAATGTACTTAATGTTTCTTCATCTATACACAATTATATCATCAGAGAATTTGTTCAATAATATTGGCCACTTCTTAGAATATATTCTTCATTTTTAACAAAGCAATTTACACTAGTTTGAATTTTATCACATTCAATTTCCCTTATTTGTTTTTTTCTCTCTTCTTATTTCAAATGATAAAATATACACAAATATATATGCATGCTTATGAATGAAAGAAAATTTAAAAATACCAGTGAGTGGGAAAAAGCAAGCGTTGATCCTCGTTCCTTCCCCTAAACTACCAAGTGTTAAAAATGATCTCATCTACACTAATAAAAGGCAACATGCTAATTGGCCATCCCTTTGTAATGCTCACCAGCCAATGAAGAGTGAATATGCAAATTAACCCAACAAAGATTGCAGTCTGCACCACCCCAGCCACTCTGGGACTCTGGGCAGTATGGGAAGGCAGCAGCCCCAGCCAGAGCGAAGGTGGTGCTGGCAGCCAGGGAAAGGAAGGCCCTTTCTTGCACGAATCTTCATGCATCAGGCCTCTATTATATAATAACTGAGCAATAAATGTTAGTTGAATCATTAAATAAAATAATTACATAAATACAGGAAAATGTTCAAAAATCAAAATGCCATAGAATAAAAAATTAATTAGATAAAATCAGGTAAATAAAAGGATTTTTAGCCAACTGTCTTTTCCTGTACAAATGAAATATTTTCTACTGAGTAATGGAGACAGCATTATCATTCCCTACAAACACAATTTATAACATCAAATTCCTGGTGGGGAGACATCCATTACAGATCTCAATGATATGTTTTCTTTTATATCATAGTTCTATATCATAATAGGCATACATATTTACACATCTACCTATTAAATTTTACTTAGTTAAGTGAAATGATCCTATATAGACCAGAGATCTCTCACTAAGTCCTTAATTGTTCATTCCTAGAGAAGAAAGAGGTCAATTTTAAGAACAGAACTTCCTAAGATACTTCTTAATGCCATATCTTCTATACTAGTTTTATCACATCTTCACAAAAAAAGTATGTCTTATATCAACCCTCTTATCATTGGTTGTAGAGATAAACCAGTTAGGAAAAATAATTCCATTCTGATTTGAATTTCTGTTTACATTGAATGTCATTTGTCAATATAAATATAGCATGTATACAGTTCACCCTAAAGGAAGACTGTCTTCAATGTAATGGGAGGATTTTGTAACTACATACTCTCTTCCAAGAAATATACCCTAGGTCAGATTTTAATACAAAAAGAACATATAAGATAATTGTTTTCTAGAGAGAGAACACAGTACACTTCATAATAAATTTTAGTAAATTATAAAAGTTAAAAATGTTTGGATTTGTACATGCTAAGTTGGTTAACTTTTACTTTTTCTCTCAAAATAATACTTATCCTTATGTCTTTTTCTACCATAATATTTCAATCTTCTTAGAATATCTTATGTCTAAATTTCTTAAGCCTTTAGTATTATGGTGTCAAATTGGGCGCAGAGCTCCAATAACAGGTGTTTGATAAGTGCTGGATATCCTGGGAGGATTACAGCACTGTGCTTACATGCTGTTCTCAAAGCCCATGAATCCCAAGGTTATATTCACTTGTAAATGAAAAGAATACAAGATTTTCTACTTCTTAAAAAAATCAATGGAAATATTTCACAATCTTTTTGCTCCTTTTAAAAATATATTTTTATTAATTTCAGAGAGGAAGGTAGAAGGAAAGAGAGATAAAAACATCAATGATGAGAGAGAATCATTGATCACTGCCTCCTGCACGCCCTCTGTTGGGGATGAGCCCAAAACCCGGGAATGTGCCCGGGAATGTGCCCTAGACCAGAATGGAACCTGGGACCCTTCAGTCCATAGGCCAACACTCTATCCACTGAGTCAAACCAGGTAGGGATCTTTTTGCTTCTTTAACAGCCTGAAATAAATATTTGCTTCAACAATATTTATACGAAGCATTGTTATTTTAGAAAATGCATGTGCAAACACAAACACTCCTAGGCCAGGCAAATATATCTATAGCATAAGACATTTGCACATTGATTTTATAATACTATATTAAGGACTAATATGATATTTTGGTAAGCATATTTCAACTCGTGATAGTTACAGGAGAGGAAAAAAAACAACCCCCATTAGTCATTCTGATATATTCTGAGAAGCATATAATTTACTCACTAAAAGCAAAATGTTATTTTGGTACATATAAAATATTATATGAAAAACACTGAGGTTAAAGTCAATCATGTATGGTTAGAGGATAAAAAACAAATAAATATAATAAATGAATATAAAAGTACATCTTTTTGCCTTTTATCTCTAAGCTGGGTCTAATAAAAGATAATGATCCAGTTGAAAAAATAAAGTATTGTTTTAATAAGGCTTGATCTTTGACTTATAAGTAGCCAAATTTGACACTCTATGACCCAAAGTAGGCAGTAATTAAACAAAAGTCCTTCCTCTGTTACATGAGAATTTATTTCCCAAGAAGCCAGATAAAGGCAATACTGATTACAGTGGAAATGATTACTTCATTTGGGATGAAGGAACTATATTTAAAAAAAAAAAAAAAAAAAAAAAAAAAAAAAAGATTATTCCTGATGGGAACACTCCATGGGGACACATGACGTAGGTTTCCCTGAATGCGGTGACTGTTATGTTCAGGCATGTCTTTTTAATTGCCCCTGGAAGAAAGCCTTTAGAGATAACACAAGATATTTTGGTTCTTGTGAAACTTGAGACTTCTAGGAAAGGGGGTCTTGGCACTTATCCAATGTGAATCTCATCTTGTACCTGACCTATCGCCTGGAAAAAGACAGCTTCCGGTTGACTCCATGAAATGCTACATGGACTGCTACAAAAATCTCTTACTCTGCTCTATTAGCAAGATATGGTTCCTTTCCTATATCCTTTGTATTAGATTGGTGCCAAATATGGTCTCTGGTGGTTTGGGGAGTCTGAATGCTTATTTGAGCAACTCCTAAAACAAACAAATGAGGACATTGTACACATAAATATACTATTATAGATGTAATATGCTCAAGTCTCCAGTTTTAAATAAAGTGCCATTTAAAAGATCTGATATGACATATCTCTTTCTCTATTTATGTAACTCACCAGCAGTACCATACCAATGAAGAGTGTATGTCTTTAGGGAATAAAAATACAAAAACAAATCAGCTAAAACTGGTTTGCTTTTTGTGATCACCATGCGTCCACAATTCTAAACAGTGTCAATGGTAAAATATTCTTTCCCACTGGGAAAACTACTCTTGCTTCTATACTTTCATTTCATGCCATGAAAATGGCGTTCAACTTCCAAGGGAATTTCTAGAAATCTAATGGAAGTCAGAATCCAAGGCCGAAGGTGGGCTTTATGGATTGCCAACTGATTAGGAACCAAAAGAATGATTACTAGAGGAGTCATTTCTTCTTACAACTGCTCCCCTTTCTCCTTTCATCCCTTTGTGTGAAGGAGTTTCTAATGAGTCTAAAACAACTACCAAAGTATAATGACTTCCTCCACCACAATCACAACCACCGCCAGAACATTACAGGTGAGAGGAGTGAGAGCAGAGACCAGCCAGTGTGGCTTGGCTAGGAGTCCATGAAACAGTTTAAGAAGAAAGGACATGAAACATTTTTGAGTCTCCAAAATGTTTTGGCCTATATTTGGCACTTAATGAAAAATATCATAAGAAAATTGTACAGCCGAAACTGGTTTGGCTCAATGGATAGAACATCGGCTTGAAGACTAAAAGGTCCCGGGTTCGATACCGGTCAAGGGCATGTACCTTGGTTGTGGGCATATCCCCAGTAGGAGGTGTGCAAGAGGCAGCTTGTCGATGACTCTCTCTCATCGATGTTTCTAACTCTCTATCTCTTTCCCTTCCTCTCTGTACAAAATCAATAAAATATATTAAAAGAAAAAAAGAAAATTGTACAAATACTAATTCAAAAGCAATCCAAAGCCAGCCTAGGTAGGCAAGGATAGCCATGTTGTAAAGGTAAAGTTCTGAGACCCTTACCTGAGGCATGTCCTTTGTCTGCCATTAGAGGTCTCCCTCTAATGTAGACAGGAACTCCCCTCAAGTCTAATGTAGACAAATCTAAACATAGATTATTCAGGGGAGTGAGGTCCACTTAAAAACTTTCCAAATAGGAAGGAAAAACATAGATGCTTGCAATTTAAAACAAAAACCTCTCCATGTCTACCCGTATCAATCTGACTAAGTGAACTATGACTCCTATCTTCACTATCTTTAACACCAGGCTGGTGTCTATGAAATTTAGTGGTGCTTGGTCTACATGATCTCAGATCCCTCCTTGTCTTTCAAAGTCTAAGGCCTTTTAACTCATTTGAATTGCTGGCTATAAGCAGAACCTGGAAAAATTAAGAACTCATTGGTAAATTCATCCCTATTTTTGGAAAATGAAAAATCACAAGTTATGCCATGGTTTGATACTTTTTTTTCTTTCTGTCTTTAAAATGTCTTTCCCATTGTAACTGTGTCTTCTCTAAGAGTTAGTTACTCTTCTTGATCATTGATGTTTAAAGAAGTCATTGAAATCTCTTAATTATGCCTCTGTAAGCAATATAAGTAGTTTAGAAATTCCATTTCCCTCCATTTAACTGAATCAAAAGTTACTTCCTTAATAAAGATCTCCAGTGCTACAGCAAGCAGCTTTATGAATCAGAGAAGGGTTGAAAAGAAGAATTCAAGCACTAGGACATCATCAAATTAAAATATATATAGTAATAAAGGGCTTTGTCAATAAGTGTCAGGCTAATAGAATTGCTTTAAATCTTGGATAAATTAAGGTAAGACCACACAATTTCAGATACTACAAATAATTCCCTACTGGGTGAAATCTTTTACAGACACGATCAGAGATCAATGACAAGCAGCTACTTTAAACACAATTCATTCCTTTCTCATTAAATGTTCCTCTAATGCCTTCTCATCGATGGGATAAATTCCTTTTGAGTAGGCACTCATTTTTCTTGTGTTTATTTAAAGTATAACACCTTTTATTTATTATTTTTAAAAACTTGAAGAATTTTATATTACTGAGGGAAAATATCACCTGGTCTATGTGTTTTAAAAAATAAAAGCAACCATTCAATTGAAAAACAAACAAACTTTGAAATAAAATTATATTTTAGCATGTAGTCACCTAAAAGAAAGTGACATTTTAACATGCAAAGAAAATAATATAATTATCACACATTAGTAGCAGGGCTGAAGTGTATATTATTACAGCAAAGACTATATTATATATACATATATCTTCATATATGATAGCACATTCATATTACTGTGAACTTGATGGGAAAGGGAAGGGGGAAGGGAAATTATGCATGAAAATTTATTTTAAAAATCAACGATGAAAACAAATTTTTTTTATTTAAAAAAGAAACTCTGAGATGAAACTGAATAGGTAAACTAGAGAAAAACATAGCACAGAAAACAAACTCTGAGTGAGCCCTGCCTTTACCTAAATGTTTGGTGTCCAGTATATGCCTCCTATATGTTTGGGAGACTCCGTGAAGAATGCCTGCAATATGAACAAGATAGCTAATTTTAGGGTATTTTTCATCCCTGCCCTGATGTGAATGTGCCTAGGATAGTAGAGAGGGTATGGGCTTTATAGTCAGACAAAAATGAAAACATGAGCAATCCCTAAACTTCTCAGGAATTTTGTTCTCTTTTGTTTGTTTGTTTTAGAACTAATTACATCCAGAAGGTGTCAAGGCAGGATTAACTATAATAATATTTTCAATATATCTATAAAGAGGCCAAAGCAGAGACCTAGGCAGCCACACTGGGTAAGTGGTATTAGCAACAGACATGATTTCTCTCCCATTCTGTAGACTAGAAGTCCAAAATCAAGGTGCCAGCTGGCTGCACCCCCTATGGAGGTGTTCCTTGTCTTACAGCTGAATTTCAAAATATGGATTCGATTTTAACAAGAAAAATTGAAGGAGAGATCATTAATAGGCTGGGCAAAGTAGAAAGAGAATGTTGTCATTACTGAGGAAAATAGGGTCGGAAAGAAATTAGTAGAGGGGCAGGAAGGAAAATGCCAATGGTTTGCTAGGTACTCCTACCTCAAGTATTTGCCATGCTTTCAGCATTGCCTATAATTTCAGAGGGTTAAAATGAACAAAGTGATGTTGGATTAGCTGGTGGAGGTGCCTGCGGCATAGTCAGAGATAGAATACTTGGTTTCAGGAAGACCAAGTCAAAGCTAAATACTGTGTCTGGGAAAGAAATCCTCTGAACTAATTTCTATCCTCTCTCAGATGTTGTGTATTTGTTTTTAAAATATATCTTTATTGATTTCAGAGAGGGAGAGAGGAATAGAAACATCAATAATCAGCTACCTCCTGCACACCCACACTGGGAATAAGTCCTGAGCAACAATTGAACTGTGACCTTCTCATTCTCAGATTTCAGATCCTAGAAGCTACCCAGGGTGCAGGGTGGCTCTCAGGCTTCTGGAATTGTCCTGCAACACAGTGATGTGCACTGGCTTCCAAATGGCTTAGTCTTTCTTTCTCTTAGGACTACCTATTCTCTTGAAAAAGATTCCTCCAAGCCATTCTCCAGTTCCATTACTTCCCCCTCTATTTTCCTTTCTTTCTCATTTCTTGCCCAAGACCTTTCCCCTAATTCTCCTCAATACTCTTGTACTGAGTTGATATCTCTGCAGTTGGTTGTAGACGTAAGAAAACAGTGCTATCAAAAGTGCTTAATAAGCCAAGATTGGTTTGGCTCAATGGATAGAGTGTCGGCTTGGGGACTGAAGGGTCCCGGGTTTGATTCCGGTCAAGGGCATGTGCCTTGGTTGCGGGCATATCCCCAGTAGGGGGTGTGCAAGAGGCCGCTGATCGATGACTCTCTCTCATCGATGTTTCTAACTCTCTCTCCCTTCCTCTCTGTACAAAAATCAATAAAATATATTTTTAAAAAGTGCTTAATAAAAGACCTGTAGTTGCTTCCAAATATTTACATAGGAAAAACTGCCTATTTGACTTGGTGAGGGGAAAAAAAATTATATTTACTTACCTGGGAAAATTACTTCTTCAGTGCAATCCATTCTCATGGCCTAATAAAGAATTAACAGCACACCTAGTGTGGAAATACCTCTTAAAAGCCTTCACCTGTGCCTGTAAACTCTAAATAGCTGTTTTCAAGTGTCTACTTCCTGCTGAGCTGCTTTTGTTCTTTCTGGAAGCTTCCTCATCTAATATGTCGGCAGCGTGCTTCTAATTTTCCTGAGCATACAGTCATTTCTTAGGATAGCTTCATATACCTTTTATAGGGCTTTTAAAAACCATTTGTGATGGAAAACAGAGTATTTAACAGCTTAATGCCTTTCTAAGGATTTCCAGTAATGGGGTGATCTCTTAGACATTTCCTTTTCCATTAGGGATAAGATTTTTTTTGTTTGTTTTAAGCCCAGCTTTTTCCATGGTTGTCATTCAAGCTCAACCATGGAAATCAATGATTTCATGAAGATTCATGTAGCCCCTGTTTAAATAAGAGGTTATTTAGGGCAAGGCACACTTGGGCTCTGTCATTTTGAACATCCTTTGGGCATTAGGAGGACATCAGTGTAACAATGAGTTTACTTTTTTTAGTTTCTAAAATAGTTGTATATGTGGAAACCTATAATTTTACTGCCCTACACAAAACTTTATTTTTTTTCTTTTATTTTAGATGAGTTTTGGGAGACCACAAAAGCTCCTTCATCTCCACTTTCAGAGCCTCTTTTTCATAACAATTTTCATGCATTAATAACATCAGAATCATCTTTCATCCCTTATTTTTATTCAATGATAAAAGATGGAATTTAGAGTAGCTTTTTATATTGTGTTTTCTTTTGTTTCAAAGGTGCAGTAGCTATTAAGCAAAACAAAAAAGAACTGCCTCTGCCATCATGTATTAATGTTCTTTGTGAAACGAGATAGGAAAAGTTAAGTTTCTCGTGGAAAGAATTAAAACAACAAATGCCTGCTTGCATGACTTGTGAGAGACTGACATAAAGGAAATCATTTTTCTTTTTTTATATCATAGGCTACCTTTTATTCTTAAAAATGAAATCCCAAAGTGGTTAGCAAATAGACACTTTCTTTCTTTCCATCCATAAGCCTTGGGTTAGCCTTATTCAAATCAATGCCCTTCTGAAGTAATTTAAATAGAAACGGCCACCTCACTGATCTTTCATGATCTGTGTCACTTCACAGAGGCAGTCACTTGTTCCCGATGGATGAATAAACTTTGCCGAATCTACAGTCTAAGCTGGAAAAGGCCAAAAGCAATAAATCTAGATGGCACAACTGTTTTGTAAGAGGCCAACTAAGGCTTCTGAATTTTTTATTTCTCCTAAATGAAATAAACAGGAGAGAAAATACTGCAAGATAATGACAAAGGCAATGAAGCAGGCAGGTAATGGCCCAGGCCAAGTCTGGGGTAAATCTTTATTCATTGCCATTGTCACAGGAAATGAGCCTGGTGCCTGAACTCCCTGAGCCATGTGGACCCGGCCATCTGAACAAGCCCCTTCAGGTACAAGGTCAGCGCTTAACCTGATTACACCTTTAGGCTAATTTCTTTCCGATGCGGTTATAGAAGAGGCTTTGGGGGAAACCCGGCCATTTGTTGGCCACTGATCACAGAAGATGCGCTTTGGCAGAGTTAGAAGGCGACGGGACACGGGTGTTCCAAGATTGCTTTTGCCACATGCTAAGTCTGTGACCTTGGGAAAGACAATTTAAAAAATCACACGCTGGAGTTATTTCTATGCTCTGCTAGAGATCCCAACTGTTGAATTCCACCCAAGTCGTTTGACTATCCAGGGTCCCCAATTTGTTCATGTTCAGAGTGCTCCTGAGAATCAAACAGGAAAGACTATATGAACCAGTGACTGGTAAAATATACAGGAACATACATGGCTTGGTGGGTACATTATTTTGACTGTTAACTAACAAAGATTTCACATGGGGGGGGGGAAAATTCTCTCCACCTCAATCATGCAACCAGCATAGCCCTAACTGTGTATTTAGAGACCCAATAGGGAACTCTTCACAAAGCAAATCATTTCTCCACAGCATGGCAAATGCCTCCCGACTGCTCAAGCTATTAAAATGGACATGTGTGGTATATGCCCTTGCTGTGTGACTCTGTGGCATCTCCGACCAGAGTGGGCAGAGTGTACCTCCCACCCCAGTGATACGGGGCGTGGCTATATTTTCTGATTTGGCCAGCAGAATGCTAGTGGACACGGTGGGAGCAGATGTTTAAATGTGTGTGCCATAGCTTGGCTTGCCTCCTGGACTCTGCCTTCCCACCTTCAACCATGTGATGAATGTGTCCTGGGTGTTCGGGTCTAGTAAGAATGAAAAGCCATGCAGCAGAATGCGACCTCGAGTGCAGCCTGAAACTGAGTCTCTCCATCTGACCCACAAACCACTAGGAGGAAGCCTCGGAGATATGCAGGTCATTACCCAGCAAAACTGACTCATGTACCATAATCCAGTGTCCTTTAGAGAACGAGTATACATCTTCCTTTCAGTCTCATTTATTCAATAGATTAAGAGAGCCCTGAGAAAGGAAAATGGTTGTGGAAAATAAAAGCCTCTCTCAAGAGTCTTACCTATTCTGGATATAAGGGAAGGAATTCCTTAAGTAGGTTTAAAACTGAAGCCACTGTGGTTTAGAGGAAACTAAGACAGTTATTAGAAAGCTCAGCCCTATTCATTTCCTTAACTTAAAAAATAGCACATGGTACCAACTTATATTCCCTCCTGTTGCCTAAAAGAATTTAGATAGAGGACCAGCTGCAGGATATCTATCATCATAGATATCTACAGTTTAACATGAACTAGATATGGTGGGTGGACAGGGAGAAACGTAGCAAGACTCATTCAATCATAATCCTATTGTTTCAAGGATGGCCCAACAAACAAGTTTACTAAACAGAAACTCTTTTATTTTTAAAAAATATATATATATTTTATTGATATTTTACAGAGAGGAAGAGATAGGGATAGAGAGTTAGAAACATCGTTGAGAGAGAAACATCAATTAGCTGCCTCTTGCACAACCCCTACTGATGATGTGCCCGCAACCAAGGTACATGCCCTTGACCGGAATCGAACCTGGGACCTTTCAGTCCGCAGGCCGATGCTCTGAGTCAAACCGGTTTCGGCAACAGTCACTCTTTTAGTCACTCTTCTAGCTCCTTGTAAATTGCCTTACTTTCCTTTGCTTTTGGAGTCTTAGACCCCCACACACACTTCCCTTTCCTTAGTACTGAATGACATTTGTACCTTATTTTGCTTCTCTATCCTTGGAATTTTCATGCTTAAGTGAATTCCCTGCGCACACCTGTTAAAACTTGCTTTTCTCCTGTTAAACTGCCTTTTGTTATTTGATTTAGTCCAGAAGAACTTCCTAAGGGTAGGAGGAAAGATTGTTTTTCCTCCCCAATACCTATTCTCAATTCCCCAAAAAGCAAAACAAAGCAAATCAATTCTCCCAAGTTATTATATTTAATATAAAAATAATCTATATCAAACTGCTTCCGTTCCTTTGGGGGCTCATTTTAGGTGGTAATCATCTCAAACTAATGTTAGAGAAATGAGAAAATATTGGAATTAGTAGACACATTTACATGGTCTTCTGACAATAGCCATTATTATTTTGTCACTTTTTTATAACTGTGGTTTAATAATTTACTGTCTTTGGATTGCCCGTGATAATGACAATCTGAATGTGATTCCCACATGCACCAGGTCATTTTTCCAGTCTTCTAGAATTCTTTTTTTAAACATGAAAAAGAAACAGATACATTTGTGCTAACGTTGTATCATCTTCGGCTATTTAAAACTTTGGTTGTTCACAAAATATTAGAATTAGGTAGATCTTTTGAAATGTACCTTATGGATATTTGATATTTATCCATCAGAAGATTATTTATTAATAGAGTCTGTGATCATCATCCAAATAACCTCTAAAAAAGCAAGGGGTGAGAAGATCACATCACTGCTGAACTAAACTTGTTCATAAGTAAGTTTGTTTTTTTTTAATTTAAAAACATCTCCAAGAATATTTAAAAGAATCAATGAAACATATAATAGTGGAACTTTGAAGCTGCAAGAAGCCTTACGTTAATCTCAGAAAAGAATGTGAGAGCACTAAGTAAACTGTAAAGTGCCACACAAATCTATAAAATGTGTGTTCTCCCCGTCTATGTAAAGCCCCTTATTTTACAAGTAACAGAACAGAGACTGAGAGATTTGAAAGAGTCTTCAAAAGCCTGCTCAGAGCTTTTCCAAAAATCATTAGGACTATCAACACTCACCCCAGGCAAATTCCCATTAACTCTAATCCACAATTACTGGTCAGGCCTCAGCAGTTTCGGAGCCATTCTCACTTAACTCCACAGCTGCCTCCATCAGTAAACCAGCCACGAGAATATAAGAACAGGCATGCAATAGGCGTTTTCCAAACCCCCCACGACTGCACATTTTCTCAAAAAGGAAATAAAAAGAATGCTTTAAGAAGGCTATTTTTCTTAATCTGATGGACACATTCTCTTAGGCCCTCATATATTATTTCTTTTATATCTGATAGCATTTAGCTGTTTTAAGCATATCCTAGGGTCACTCTCACTTTGCAAAGAGAAGCTGGTCAAGGACAAAAAGGAAGCAGCAAGTTTTGCCTTAAGAGCTGAAAAAAGATGATACTTGAGAAGTGAATAAAACTGTTACTATATTCCCTGGAGCAATCGTTTTCAAATGCTTCTTATTCATACATTTCATTTTTTTGTTTTTGTTTTTCAAAGAAAGGCTTTCCACAAAGCCAACGAAAATAAAGGAACAGGAGCTTCTCTGATTGAAATAGGAGTAAGAGTCCAAACAAAACTCTTACCAGTTGGGGCCCCTGACCAGGCTCCAGTGAACACAGTTTGCAGTTCATCCTGAGGCAGCGATTTTCTGCCCGTGAGCTGCAAGAATTTATAAAACACGCAGTACCTGACTATTTCGTCAGGGGCACTGACCTCTTTTCCCTTAGATTGGCAAATAAAAAAAAGTGACAACAGCCAACACAGCAATAGCTGTCTGGTGTGAATGAATCAAAATTATACCTATTTCCTTTGTCAGGTGGACAAGAAAACAATGTGTGTGTGTGTGTGTGTGTGTGTGTGTGTGTGTGTGTGCATGCGCTGCAGAATTTTAGTAATTACCGTGTTTCCCCGAAAATAAGACATCCTCCGAAAATAAGACCTACTTTTACAGATTTATTTCTGAGTGAAATATAAGGCATCCCCCGAAAATAAGGCCCCCCTAGGCTAAACATGAGAGATTTGGTCCACTGATTCTGAAAGAAATGGAGTCACAAGAAATTCACCAGGAAATTCAGGAAGTGGATTGTTATGATGATGTTCCAGAAAATGATGACATGATTGTCATTGAATAAATGAGTAAGTTCTTGATACTGTAGGATTCACAGTTTGTCGGTTTGTGTTGACAACTACCGTACTACCGTACCGTAGACAGGTAATAAATTTCCTTTATTTTCATTTAACAATAAATGTGTACCGTATTCTTCTTCATGGAAAAATAAGACTTCCCCTGAAAATAAGACCTAGCGCATTTTTGGGAGCAAAAATTAATGTAAGACACTGTCTTATTTTTGGGGAAACGGTAGTTAAATTGTGCCATGAACTGAAAATCACTGTCCTAAAGGAGGAAGCCCAAACTCCATAAAGAGGTACTTTTGGCCCAATCTAATCTAACTTCAACTTTTATTTCCAGCTCTTAGATTTAATAAAGCATGCTCAGTAATTAGGATATGACAGCAAGGTTTTCTAGTCGTGATGTAGGCAAATTAGCACATTAGAAACAAACAAAAGTAATTGAGTGCAACAGAGTGGTGGAAAGAACAGATCTGGGAACAGAAGACTTTGTTTCTAGTTTATTCTATGTGACCTAGAGTGAGTCGCTAAATTTCTGGACCTCAGTTGACCCATTTATCAAATATAAATATGGGTGATATTATACTTTTATCAGGGGGTTAGTCAAAATCACTCTTTAATATTTCTTCATGCTGCACATGACTCAATTTGACAAATATTTTTCAATGACTGGTACATGTTAGGGCACAAAAGATATAAATGATAAACAAGCAAAGTCCTTACATGAAAAAGAGAATAAAGTCTAATGAAAGGGACATAAATGCTATTATTTTGGAGGGTTTTCCCTAACAATTCACTTGTGTTGGAATTGCTCATTCTAGTAATCTGAAGTCAGAGTCTAATGCCTCGTACAAAACCTTTTTCCCGACCTTCTGAGCATACTTGGAAGAACCTGAATTTCCATACAGTATGTTGGTCTTGGTGCTATTTTGGTCTCTGACCCAGAGAACAGCATCTAACTCAGAAGAACAAATATTTGTGGTCTTAGATACTGAAGCAGTCACAAAGCCATTCCTGCAGTGGGAATGGATCAATTTAGAGCCCTCTTGTTGACTGTGCCCAGGGAATAAGGATACTAAGCAATCACAGCAATATATGTATAATCCATGGGCAGCTGATTCTTCCTCATCATTGATGTTCCTATCTCTTTTTCCCTCTCTCTTCCTCTCTAAAATCAATAAAAATATATTTTTAAAAAGAATCATGCTGATAAAGACCAGAAAGCCTGCCTGGGGAAGTGACATCTAAACAGAAACCCAAAGCATAGATGGAAGTGGTCAAATTGGGGTTAGGGAAAGGAGCAGTTGGGCAAGGGGAAGAGCCCTTAGACTAGGCAGGAGAAACAGCCTCAATGAAGATCCAGAAAGAAGTGAGAGAAGAGGAAGCATTTGGCAAGTGATAAGATAGAAGAAGAAAGCAGGGGCCAGGTTATGTAGACCGCTGTGTACCTTGTTAAAGATAGCGGGGCGATAATGATGAGAAAGGAAAGGTTTTAAGAGGGGATGATATTCAATCCGATTTGCTTTTTGTGGTTTTGTATTTACTGCTGCAGAGAGCAGGAATGAAGAGGATTGTAGGCAGTGAAGCTCTAGCTGGGATGCTGCTGTAATAATACAGGATTATACAGCGGCACTGGGGTTGGAGAAAAGACGTAAGATTCAGGGGACATGGAGGAGGTAGTATGCACAGGACTCAGCCACTGTAGGGGGTGGGGGTGATACAGGAGGAATTAAGGATGATGCTGAAGTTTCTAGCTTGAGCCACAGGGTGAATGTGGTGCCATTTGCAGTATTAGAGAATACCATGGAAACTCTATTTTTTAAAATGATAAAAAATAATGTTAGCATAGTGTGTACTATGTGAAGCCACACATTAACTCCTTCATCCTCATCAACTCAATGAGATAGTTCTTAATTTTATCTACTTTAGTACACAAGGAAACTGAGGCACAGAAAGGCTGAGTGACTTGCCCAAGTCCCACACCAGTAAGTGTTCAAGTCTGTATTTGAACAATTTGGGAATGGGGGTTGGAGGAGAAAATAATCTCAGTTTTAATCATGCTGAGTTTGAGTGACCTATGGCATTTGAACATGTAGGTTTGAAGTTCAGGGGAGATATTTATAGGATTTAGAAATAACTAAAACCATGGTAATGGACAATACAGCTCTAGGCAAAAAGATCAAGAAGAGTTTACTTCAGTTGAATAAAAAAATTGGCAATAAGCATTTTGCAGAGGTTAATGAAAGTTCCATAGTCATAAAGTTAATCAAATAAATCTTGAGCCCATGCATAAGCAGGAAATAAAAACAAGGACTCTGAAATAAGAGTTCAACCCAGAATGGCTAGGGTGTAAGCCCCTGGAGCAGTATCGTCATGTGTTCATAGAATCATCTCAAGCAATACTTGGGAAAGAAAAAGTGAATCAAAAGTCCTCTCCACACTGCAGACAGGAGAACTGACTGTTATATTAAGTCCCAGCATATTAGCAGTACTGTGTACAAATTGTAGCTTGTTCATTATGTAGTATTTTTATTTATTCACAACTAATGCACTTGGTCACTCTCAACTAATTGTTTTTTACCTCCCTAACATTCTAATTAAGAAACTCTGGTATTTTGACAGTGAGACTAATGCAGATAAGATTCTTGTCTCCAGAGTGATGAAATCCAGATTAGAAGCACCCTTCATAGAATATTGCTTAGTGCTTCCACAATGCCAATTTTATTTGCATATTCCATGCACTAATTTGTACCATTCTGTGCACTAAATAAGTTTTCAATAATTGCTCAGTAACCGCAGAAGAAGAAATATAACTGCTACTGTAGTTTAGCCAATCAGAAAACTAAGCATTTTACAGTCTTGATTTGCAAAGATTAAAATCCTTTAATTAAAGTCAAACTAATCAGCTGTATCTGCCTTCTTTTTCCATATATATTTTTGATACCTGTAAAGTCTGGTTGAATTCTCTCCCCCCTCAGAAAGTGTCATTATAAGTCAAAGTTAGATGAGGAATTGAAAAGGTGTCATGTGAAGAGAACAGAAAAGGGAAAGAAAAGCCTGGCTTTGTGTCTCTTCCATGATTCCTGCTGGACTTTGTCTCCTTGGACCCACAGCTGTCAAATGAGCTGATCCCTGGCACTTCTGAGCACAAGCACCACACAGCCCATGCAATTCCCAGAAAGGGACGATTTCTATCACCCAGGCACCACAGAGCAGAGCAAGGCAAGAGCATTCACTGAGTCCCTCCCATGATCTTCCCTCTAATCAATTTATCAGCTCATCTTTTCAGAGGGTCACATGGCACTCCCTTGCTCTGCACTAGGGATGCTGTGATGATAGGAAGGCCTTCCTCTCTGATTACAATCTGAGTTTCTCTCAGCCATTACATAAGAGGATGGGGAGGACACCTAGTCAAACTCAAATATTTGACCCTAAAATTCCTCTTTTTCTACTAGTTCACCTTTCCTCCTGGACATTTCTACTTATTCTGGGTACACAGCCACAAACAGTTTATGTCCCTAAATAGGAGTTAAAAATCAGAGAGAAGCCCTAGCCAATTTGGCTCAGTGGATAAAGCATTGGCCTACAGACTGAAGGGTCCATGGTTCAATGCCAGTCAAGGGCACATGCTTGGGTTGTGGGCTTAATTCCCAGAGTAGGGCATGCAGGGAGCAGCCAATCAATGATTTTCCCTCATAATTGAGTTTATATCTCACATTCCCTCTCTCTTCCTCTCTGAAATCAATAAAAATATATTTTAAAAAAGAATCAGAGAGAGAATAAAAATAATATTTTCAGAGTAATTCTTGTTTGTGCATTAGGTATCTTATTGTGAGGAAGTAAATTGATTTATATGAGCCCCTTGGGTTGCCATGGTGCAGGGGGCGTGGCTAAGGAGTTTCCCTGGGATGGCTGCAGAGAGAATAATCTGAGGTAAGCAGAAGGTGTGCCTCCTCCAGGCCAAGGAGCTGACCTGGCATTGCTGAGCCACAAAGAGAGACCAGTGGCCTGTTTCTCTAGGTCTGCTGCACACTCCACGAGCCCAATCACTACATGATGCTAAATTAGAAAATGGAGCAAGTCCCCGCACATTCCAATTTTTTCTTTTGTTCCCCAAGTGGCCACAGGAGGAGTAGGTCAGCAATGAGTTTCCACAAAGTATGGTACCAGGTCAGTCTATCCCTTGACAAAAATTACTATATGACACATCACATTCCAAGGGACTAAAGTGGGGAGATTGCTGAGTATAATCTGCTGAATCACTGCTTCAGGAAATCAAGGTGTTTCTCATGTGGAAAAAAATCACTAGTTATCTTCCAATTTGACTAAAAAGTATGTGAGGCTTTGAAAAGAATATTGTGAAATCCACAGAGGACCAGTTCACTATTCAGAATGTTCTTTTATTTATTACATAACATTAAAAATGTGTTACATGTTTACTAATTGGCCAACCACAATTTTTATCTTTGTTACAAATTCCTTAAAGAAAACCACTGCTTGTTGAGATGACACTTATTATTTTTAAGGCAAATGGGCTTCCCTCAGTGGCAAGATGGTGTAATGGACGTTATCCTTCCATTTATCAGGTTAGGCCTTCTCCTTTGAGAAGGAATATCCACCAAAAGTATTATTCTCTAACACTGCCCCATTTGAAATAAATGTCCTCTCAACTATGAGCTATGGTAGGA